TTAAGGGTTGTAAGTAGGAAGGAACTTGTAGAATGATGCAGAAAGGCACTGCCAATGTTGAAGTTGTTGCCACAATTCTTTGTTGGTTGAAACATTGCAGTTTTCTTTGCTTGAAGATCTTACAATAACACCCCTTGTTGTATCTTGTTTTTCTAGTTTTATACAGTCCATTGTGGGTTAAAGATGTTGACCCTCTAATCATCTAATCTGGATAATCCCTTCCCAGCTGCCTGCGCGGGGCCCTTCATAAGTTGGCTTTGAAATTCTGACCTTAGAAACTATCCAGATGTAGACTATCTCCACCATAAGCATGCATAAACATCCATAAACCTCCAGTTTGTCTATATAGTTTTAAGCTCATGATAAACCCGCTATAAACCCATTCTCACCATCTCCCAGGAAGGACGTGGAGCCGGAGAAGTTCATCAGCGCCTTCTCTCAGCATTTGAAGCGTCAAGGCCGGACGGACTTGCCCAAGGTTTTTCCCGATGACCCCAATGGTTTAATGGGAATGCATGGGATTTTTAGATATGGATTGAAGCAACAAAAATTTGGGATATTAGCATCTACTGTAAGCAACAAAAAGAAGAAAACCAACTAAGAACCAGGAGGATGTTGAGCAGTGTAAAGAGATTTGCAATTGATCAATTGTAAAATCGAGATGTTGCAAGACATGTACGAAGGGGCACGATGGAGGGTCAAAACCAACAGAGAAAAATGTGGCTCTCATCTCTCATCAACTGGGATGTACAGTCTGCAAATATCCCTCGCAAAAAAAATGAGGTTGCTGGGCTTGTAGGTATTTTTGTTTGTGTTTGTGTTTGTTGTTGTTGTTGATGATGTTGTTGTTGTTCTGGTTGTTGTTGTTGTTGCTGCTGCTGTTGTTGAATCCAATGTGTTCGTTGTTGTCCTGTTTTTCTTTGCCGAATGTGTTTAAATGTGTAGTTTTTGGTCCTTGATGTTCACTGCTTGATCATACATGTATTAGTAAGAACTTTTCTTTATATATATAATATTATATATAAATGGAAGATTTGCAACGTATTGCAAAGTAGTCCAATTCATCAGACCAAAAAAACACTTTACCATCAACCATTCCTTCTAGTATCTTCAAAAGTTTCATCTGTTTCACATCTATAGAATGTACATCCAATTACCAAAAAAAACAAATCTAATAACACCCATATAATATATCTTTTAGATATAGGATATTTTAGATAAAACAGAAAACGTAAATGCAACACTTCTTAAAATAATTAACACTGTAATAAATATGTAAAACATATCTGCAGTTTTTACAAAAAAAATGCTCCTCCAAAAACATTATATAGATAGGTAAAACATTTACATTAAGTAAAAAACTTATATTTTAAATTTAGTGAGATTTTTGCGTATAAAAATGTGTTTTTTTACACATCCTGATGGACCTAGTTCTTGATGACATCTCCAATCATATTTGGTGATTAGATCCAAACTTACTGCGATCAGATCCTCGCAGTGACTCAACGAAAAAGATCCAAACAAGTCAAACCCTACTAGAAAATAAATATAGCTTAGTGAATTCATAACATGAAATCCCAATTGTTTATGGATTTCATGGATAAATCATGGTTCTATCACCATGTTTTGAAGCTTTTCTGACGGAATCAGGCCGTTTCGAGCTGCCCAAGTGGGCGGATGTCGTGAAGACCAGCAAAGCTCGGGAGTTGCCTCCCTCGGTCCTTGGGCAAACATGATATGTGGATGGGTTAACAACCTATCATTACCAGCTATTAACCCATGAATTTGAGTACGTAATCATCCATTAACCAGCTATGACCATAATTTTGGGGAATAATTATCCATTAGCCAGCAATAACCATAATGAACCTATGATAGGTTCCCCAAAAAAACAATATTGTACATGATATGTGGATGCTTATGATGGGTCTATAATTTGGGGGAATCATCATCCATTTTTTTTCACCAACTAGTTGGGGTGAACCTGCCAGGGCTTTGACTCATAGCCATGCCAGGGATGTTTGGGTAAATGTCTGAGAAGGTTTGTTTAATGGGATTTTGTGTTTTTTTACGGTCATTTTATATTATAATATCATTTTATGTGTTTTTTATTATGAGTTTTAATGAGTTTGAAACATCAAACATATAGGGACATGACATAATGGGACATATCTGTATTTTTCATGGGATTGAACTCAACAAATCTGGTGGTATGATGGGGATCATTTATGAGATTTCATTCGGATTTCTTTACAAATCAATACCGTAATTATACGTAATCATTTCGGTCTGACTCGGTATGTGGTATTTACCCGGTACCCCCCAACATTTAATTTGGCAATTTTGGAAGGGGGATGGATAAAAAATCCTTTGGAATTAAGGTATCCTATCCATATTCATGGAATTTGGCCAGAAATTCTCCAAAATTGGTATTCAATCGATAAATATGAAGATATTTGACCAGCAAGTACTTGAACTAGACAAGAACTAGTATATAGTTCATGATGGGGTTGGTAAATGTTCCATGTTGAGGATATTGACATATTCTAGGCCTCAGCTTGGAATGGTCTTCAGAGATGGGACATTTCACCGTCCCTGATTTCACAGATGGCCTGGGGGCATGGCCAGTCCCATTGGGGATGGTCATTCAAAAAACCATGGAGTTTGCCATCTTTTCACCATGGCACATGTCAGGGTTGCCGTTCAAGCTTAGCGGCTTAGCAAAAAGAACTGTCTCTGAGTCACAATCAGCACATATTTCTGGACAATAGACATATGATGATACACATAAAGGTGCCATCTCCAAAGTGGGTTGTTTGAAAATAGGCTACCCCTAAATCCACTACTTAATCATCAGACTCACATTATATATTATATAATTGGTTCTCCAGTTATAATCCATCAATGTGGTAAACCAAATAATGAACCAACTCCAGCGTATCACTTGATAAACCATCCAAACAATCGGAGGTTTCTTGTTGGGCTTACCCCATACTACCCATTAGACCCCCATCATTCTAAAGGCAACATTCCCATATTCAGAAAATCTTCGCATACCATGTTTTCATCGTACTCCAGACCTGGGTTTTGGTATGTTACTTTGATAGGCATTTCAGCTCAATCTGGAGGGAACAGTTGGCCCACGGCGAATCCATTGAATGCCCCTCCACAGCTTTCTATCCCCTATGTCGTTCCAAAGGAGCTGTGGACGTTGAATGAATTGAAGGCTGCTTTGATAAGGAAGTTTCCTCATTTGTCTACAGAAGAAGGACAGGGTTGTCAAAGGTAACGTTTTTAAAGGTTGGCTAAGTAAAAATTAGCAAGTTTCTTCCCCGGGACCTCACACAAGGTGAACTTGGAAAAATAGAACCCACTGGTGTGCCCCTGGAAGTTTGGGCCGGCTTTGAGATTGGAATTTTGGTTCTGGCCGCGAAATTTCCCTATGTGGTCTCTATACCAGCCACGCATACTCGGAATTCTTCGCATTCCACAAATTCTTCGCACTCCACATGGGACATCGCACTCCACAGCTAGGGACGCGCACATACTATAAAATCCACGCACTCTGCAAGATCTTCGCACTCCATAAAATCTTCGTACTCGGTAATTTTTCGTTTTTTTCGTTTTTTTTCTTTTTTTTTTTTCTCGTTTTTTTTTTTTGGCTAAAATCGCCTGGAATCACGTTTTCTGGAATATGGGAAAGGTAGAGGTTTTTCGTGAGACGTCTGTAGTTGCACATACTATCGCATTCCAGGCAATTTTGGCCAAAAAAAAAAGAAAAGAAAAAAAAAGCTCAGCAGGGTGAAATGTGATAATTTTCTGGTATATGATGGAAAAAACTGGTGTTGGATTCATGGGGAAGGTCGAAGGGGGCCACGCATACTGTTTTATTTTCGCATTCCAGAAAATTAGCGCACTCCAGGGGTGGCATCGTACTCTATCGGTGGAATTATTTTGCACGGAAGAAAACAGGATCGTCGATGATTTGTGTTCCCAGATCCTGTTGTGCAGAGCTCTTCGCGGGGCCACAAAGATGTCAAGAAAGATGGGGATGGCGCTGCTGATGAAAGGCCAGCCAAGCGTGCCAGAACATAAGCTTAAAGCTTATGAATTGGGTTTTGGGATCGTGAAAAGTGTAGATGACAAATTTCCATAAGAACATTATTAATCCATTTTTGGAAAGCTCAACATGTTTAATTATGACATTTCCAGAAATTGTTGAAAGTAAGGATCTTCTTTGGGGAAGAACATGTGCAGTCGACAACGTACGTGCCAGAAGAAAAGGAATACTTGGCAAACTGTATGAAATACAAATTTCACCTGAAAGGGGTCTTCGCAATTCCCTGAAATTTCCCAGCTATTTTGGCATGGAATATGTTCGGCCCTGGAATATGGGCAAGAAATTGCTAGAATCATACCCTTCAATTGCCATGGATGATCCCTATTATTCATGGTTCAATCCATTAAAATCCGAAAAAAATTGACTAATCAAATCCCGTGAAATCCCACGAATACTGTTTGATCTCCCCATGTTGATGAATTCCGAATAATTCCCGAAGCTTGATCATAGATCATCCCATTATAAAAACACCATGAAATCCGCAAATTCCCATATCACTCCCAACAAAATCGACCCGGAAACGGTATCAAATGTTGCTTCCAGACCCCTGTTATATCATACCCCCTAGGATCCTGACTGGTTGTACGTGCGTACCGCCTCCATGGTGCGAAAGATCTACATCCGCAAAGGCATGGGCGTGGGTCGCTTGGACAAAACATAGATTCAGAGACCCCATCGAGGAGCTGCTCATTGGAGCAGTGGCTGCTAAACCCCGGTCGGTTTATGCTGTCCAATATATTGACTTACATTGGTGATTATCATTGTCAAAATTGTTGGAAATCCTATCAACCAACCAGTATAAAGGGACGAGACAGGCTTTTGAACACTGCTCCTTTGGAAAGCAAATATCGGGGAAGACCCCAATATAGGTTTGAGATTAGATTGACTAGTCGGAGAACTTTGACTTGTCTCAGAGATTTCTGAGTGAAGATTTTTACCGCTTTCAGACTTGATTTTGTGGTGACATAGAGGTTTATGATTGGGTATACCATGGTATACCAATATATCATATCCCTTATATCCCTATCATTCTTGGGTCTTCCCAGCTTTCCCCGTTGGTTGGTTAATGGATGTTTTCATGGGTGGCACTGGGTGGATCCCACAACCATGGGACGAGTGATGCCCAGGTGCCTTCAAGAAGGTCTACGGCAGCCAGCAACGTCGAGGAACCTGCACCAACGTCTTCGTGCGGAGCCCTTAAGGGTTGAAGATGATTGGTTGGGAACAATTTTCGCAATGGGAAATCCACCATTTGGGTAATCTAATTCAAATCTATCTATCTATCTATCTTATCTTATCTTATCTTTTCCAATCTAATCTGACAATCTAATCTAATCTAATCTTAATCTAATCTTATCTAATCTTATCTAATCTTATCTCATCCTATCTAATCCTTTCTAATCCTATCTAATCCTATCTAATCCTATCTAATCCTAGCTAATCCTATCTAATCCTATCTAATCCTATCTAATCCTATCTAATCCTATCTAATCCTATCTAATCCTATGTAATCCTATCTAATCCTATCTGATCCTATCTATCTATCTATTTATCTATCTATCTATCTATCTTTCTTTCTATTTTTCTATCTATCTATCTATCATTATCTATCTATCTATCTATCTATCTATCTATCTATCTATCTATCTATCTATCTATCTATCTATCTATCTATCTATCAATCATTATCTATCAATCATTATCTATCTATCTTTATCTATCTATCTATCTATCTATCTATCTATCTATCTATATCTATCCATATCCATCTATCCATCTATCCATCTATCCATCTATCCATCTATCCATCTATCCATCTATCCATCTATCCATCTATCCATCTATCCATCTATCCATCTATCCATCTATCCATCTATCCATCTATCCATCTATCCATCTATCCATCTCCATCTATCCATCTATCCATCTATCCATCTATCCATCTATCCATCTATCCATCTATCCATCTATCCATCTATCCATCTATCCATCTATCCATCCATCCATCCATCCATCCATCCATCCATCTGTCCATCTGTCCATCTATCCATCTATCCATCTATCCATCTATCCATCTATCCATCTATGCATCTATCCATCTATCCATCCAGGATGTTTTCCTTTTGGGCGATCTTAAGCACATCCAAGAATTGCAAGGTGGCACTCAAATGACCACCATATGTGTGGTGGCACTGGCTTGCACGGCTCGCTGAGTTGTAGGTTGCACAGCCTTCCATTCCAGACTCTGGACACGGATTCTAACAAGGGGTGGATAACAATCGTTTTAATAATCCATTTATAGATAGGATAACCTAGGGGACTTACGATCACCAGGGTTTTTAGCCATTAGCCTCTGGCCCAAAACTTTCCAGGGAGTGAGGCTGATTTACAGCCGATTTGGGTAGTCACGACACGCAATGGTTTCGCTTCAACTGGAAGATTGGTTTGAAGATCGGAGTCTCATTACTGTCTTAGCTGAAGTGGTGATTTTTGATGAAAACCAAGAGAGACATCAACTCAAAACAGCGTTGTATGGGATTTGCTTTGAATACCAAGGGAGGTTACCTAGCAATGCTACAGTGGTGCTCCTGGTAGACGTCAATGTGGCTATGTTTGGCCAACAGGTCAAGGTATCAGCAGGTGAATCATCTAGGTGCATACCCAGGCCCAACATCAATCTGGCCTCAGTCACCGACACAGTAGAACTTTGTGCAGGAATGGGATGTTTAGGCGTTGGCCTTGAAGCGGCAGGATTCAAGATCCGCCTCAAATGTGACTGGAATGAGAAGATGCTCCGCTTAGCAACCAACATCAGCCCAGCACCAGTGCTGTGTAAGGACATCTGTGAGACAAGCTCCATAGGCCAAATTGTTGACCAGGCCCCAACAGCAGGAACAATTGCAGCAGGCATTGCATGCCAGCCGTATAGTCGGTTGGGCGACCGCAAAGCCCAAGGTGATGGTCGTGCCATGACATTGCCAGCAGTGCTCAAACTGACCTTTTTAGGTAGGTTCGCAATTGCCATTCTGGAATGTGTCCCTGAGGTCATGACGTGCCAGTGGGTTCAAGACACGTTGAAAGCATTTTGTCGATGCACAGGATTCCGCAGTCACCAACAGGTACTGGATCTACATCATGTTTGGCCAACCAGAAGGACGAGGTGGTGGTGTGTGTTGTCACATCCACGCTTGGGCAACATTCAATGGCAACCTTTTCCAAAAGTCAGCCCGTTGCCAATGGTTTCCAACCTGTTTGATCAGTTTTTGCAGTGCAATGATGAAGATTTGCGTCAACTGGTTTTGGACCTTTATGAATTGGGCAAATTCACCTATTACGGGGTTGACACCAATTTGGTACCATGGAAGGGTCAAATGAAAACATGCCTCCATAGTTGTGGCAATCAACTGTCGGGATGCCCGTGTGGGTGTAGGAAATACCCTTTCAGTGAAGACCGTTTGTCCAAAGGTGGGTTGCATGGATTACTCATCCAAATTCCAGGGATGTCACAATGTGGAAACAACATCTACCAAAACATGAGACACATTCACCCTGATGAGTTGGCCCTATTGAATGGAATGTTTCCTGGCATGCCATGGAAGGAACCACCCCGTTTCACGCTGTGTGCGTTGGGACAGCTGGCATCTCCAATTCAGTCGTGTTGGGTAGGGGCGCACATCGTTTGTCATTTGCAGTCCAAGTTTGGTGAATCAGTACAAGAAACCCCCATTGACTTCCTTTTGGATCTGATGAGGGATTTACTCACCAAACGTGATCAAGTTTTTGGGGTCCAAAAGGGTGAAGATGCTGTGTCTTTCACAAACATGGTCAACCAAAGGAAACTTGATATGGCATCACTTAACCAGCAAGGGGAATCAAGTGTGTATCTTCCTCCGCCGTCTGCCAAAGCCCCAGGCACAGCACCTGGTGTACCGATTGCACATTTGACACCCGCAATGAATGCATCCGAGGACATCCCAGACACATGCGAGATCGCCGATCACATGAGGAATGCATCCGAGGACATCCCAGACACATCCGAGACAGCCGATCACATGAGGACTCATGCCCCAGCTACCAACGCTGGTGTACCGAGGTTTGATCAGGTTTTTCCAGAAAGATGCATCACAAGTGAAAATGCCTCACCTGGAAACGTGCATGACATGAAGCCAGATCCGATGCATCCCCCAAGCCATGCCCCAGAGTCAAACTCTGGTGTACTGTTTGCATCCGAGCATCCGACCGAGCCTTGTCAAGCCCCAGGACCCTACCCTGGTGTACCGTCAGTGCTGAACCAACCACCAGTGCCTTTGCAGACCCATGCCCCAGAGCCGAACTCTGGTGTACCGTTTGCATCCGAGCATCCGACCGAGCCTTGTCAAGCCCCAGGGCCCTACCGTGGTGTACCGTCAGTGCTGAACCAACCACAAGTGCCTTTGCAGACCCATGCGAACTCTGGTGTACCGTTTGCATCCGAGCATCCGACCGAGCCTTGTCAAGCCCCAGGGCCCTACCCTGGTGTATCGTCAGTGCTGAACCAACCACCAGTGCCTTTGCAGACCCATGCCCCAGAGACGAACTCTGGTGTACCGTTTGCATCCGAACATCCGACCGAGCCTTGTCAAGCCCCAGGGCCCTACCCTGGTGTACCGTCAGTGCTGAACCAACCACAAGTGCCTTTGCAGACCCATGCCCCAGAGCCGACCTCTGGTGTACCGTTTGCATCCGAGCATCCGACCGAGCCTTGTCAAGCCCCAGGGCCCCACCCTGGTGTACCGTCAGTGCTGAACCAACCACAAGTGCTTTTGCAGACCCATGCCCCAGAGCCGAACTCTGGTGTATACCCGTTTGCATCCGAGCATCCGACCGAGCCTTGTCAAGCCCCAGGACCCTACCCTGGTGTACCGTCAGTGCTGAACCAACCACAGTCCTCTTGCAGACCATAGCCCCCAGAGCCCGGAACTCTGGTGTAATACCGTTGCATCCGAGCATCCGACCGACCGAGCCTTGTCAAGCCCCATGGCCCTACCTATCCGTCGGTGTACCGTCATCCTGAACCACCACAAGTGCCTTTGGCAGACCCATGCCCCAACAGAGCCGAACTCTGTGTACCGTTTTCATGCATCCATCCGAGCATCCGACCGAGCCTTGTCAAGCCCCATCGCCCTACCCTGGTGTACCGTCAGTGCTGAACCAACCACAAGTGCCTTTGCAGACCCATGCCCCAGAGTCAAAATCTGGTGTACCGTTTGCATCCGAGCATCCGACCGAGCCTTGTCAAGCCCCCGGGCCCTACCCTGGTGTACCGTCAGTGCTGAACCAAGCACAAGTGCCTTTGCAGACCCATGCCCCAGAGCTGAACTCTGGTGTACCGTTTGCATCCGAGCATCCGACCGAGCCTTGTCAAGCCCCAGGGCCCTACCCTGGTGTACCGTCAGTGCTGAACCAACCACAAGTGCCTTTGCAGACCCATGCCCCGGAGCCGAACTCTGGTGTACCGTTTGCATCCGAGCATCCGACTGAGCCTTGTCAAGCCCCAGGGCCCTACCCTGGTGTACCGTCAGTGCTGAACCAATCAAAAGTGCCTTTGCAGACCCATGCCCCAGAGTCAAACTCTGGTGTGCCGTCTGCATCCGAGCATCCGATCGAGCCTTGTCAAACCCCAGGGCCCTACCCTGGTGAGCATCCTACCGAGCCTTGTCAAGTCCCAGGGCCCTACCCTGGTGTACCGTCAGTGCTGAACCAACCACAAGTGCCTTTGCACCCAGAGCCGAACTCTGGTGTACCGTTTGCATCCGAGCATCCGACCGAGCCTTGTCAAGCCCCAGGGCCCTACCCTGGTGTACCGTCAGTGCTGAACCAACCACAAGTGCCTTTGCAGACCCATGCCCCAGAGACGAACTCTGGTGTACCGTTTACATCCGAGCATCCGACCGAGCCTTGTCAAGCCCCAGGGCCCTACCCTGGTGTACCGTCAGTGCTGAACCAACTGCAAGTGCCTTTGCAGACCCATGCCCCAGAGCCGAACTCTGGTGTACCGTTTGCATCCGAGCATCCGACCGAGCCTTGTCAAGCCCCAGGGCCCTACCGTGGTGTACCGTCAGTGCTGAACCAACCACAAGTGCCTTTGCAGACCCATGCCCCAGAGTCAAACTCTGGTGTACTGTTTGCATCCGAGCATACGACCGAGCCTTGTCAAGCCCCAGGACCCTACCCTGGTGTACCGTCAGTGCTGAACCAACCACAAGTGCCTTTGCAGACCCATGCCCCAGAGTCAAACTCTGGTGTGCTTGCATCCGAGCATCCGACCGAGCCTTGTCAAGCCCCAGGACCCTACCCTAGTGTACCGTCAGTGCTGAAACAACCACAAGTGCCTTTGCAGACCCATGCCCCAGAGCCGAACTCTGGTGTACCGTTTGCATCCGAGCATCCGACCGAGCCTTGTCAAGCCCCAGGGTCCTACCAGCAGGCTCCGAGCCCTTAGTTACTAAGGCCCCGAAAGTTTTTATGGTTGATCCACTAAAAACTTTTGGTACATTAAAAACTTGCTTCGGCAGACTTAGAAACTCGTCCATGCATGTGCTGTCTGACCTTGCAGGTGCTTTGGCACATATGTTTGCTTACTAGAGGCGTGCTGTGTGGCTTGAACACCTTCAAGTGTAGGTGGATATCACCTTTGGTAAACATGTTTGCTTCCCAAAAGCTCGCCCAAGCGCAATACATGTTGCAAATGTCATCTTGCAAGAGCTTTGGTGGATTGGTGGATTCAAAAATTTGGAGATCCTCACCTCTGCGCTTTCTTTCGGTGGAATTGCCCATATTGGGCGCTAGATGTGTATATATATACATATATAGATATGATGATATATGTGTTTTTTCTCTTGGGGCTCCACTACCATGATGCGTTGCATTTTGTTTCGGTCGGCGCCGTCCTTTGCAGGTACGCAGCCTTTTTGTGGAAAACAATTTCAGTTCTCAAAGCTGCAAGGGTAACAGCAGTTGTTTTTTTCCACGCATTCATGTGGCATGTTCCTCAGTTGGAAAGTTTGAGCCACCTGTACTCTATATACATCTTTTCTCACCCACATACGCACATATGTACATATATATATATATATACATATATGTATATGTATATTACATATATGTGACAGCATTTTAAAACACTGACCCGTTTGACACCTTTTTGTACGCAACTCGCTATGGGATTCCATGCGCTCTTTACAGAGCTCTGCCTCATGGTGTATATGAGGCAAGCCGGTGGGCAAGGCTTCTGAGTGAAGTCTCACATGGGCGCCCAATTGTGTGGCACCACAATGTTTAAAAAGAAAGGAGATATCCACATTGGCCAAATAGTTTTTAGTGGTTACGTTTTCAGTAGCATCTTCAATTTTACTCCATATCCCTTCTATTGCATTTCTCTCTATATCTATGTATGTAAATCTATCTATATATATATATGCAACTGGATTCCAAGGAATCCAAAAGATTCAAGCGGTGCTGTCAACCCCAAAACATGACCCGACAATTTAGCAAAACCTTCTCTTCAATTGGAATTTATCATGGACCACTCAACCAATGGGATATATTCTCAACGGTAACTCTATCAGTTCAGGGATGTATCGAGCTTGGGTATTGTTTCCAACAATATTGACATGTGTTCCCACTACATTGAACTATGAATTGGTTTCCTGTAGGGTTCATTTATGATTTCTATCTGTCAGTGTTTTAATCTTCAATAAAATATTCAGAAGCCTCTGGCACGGGGTCTCCACTGCTACCCGGGTCCACCACGGCTGGTCCAACCTTGGAAGCGTAAAAGCATTTGGCTTGGAAGTGTGGCGTGCTGTGGGTAAGAGCAATGGCAGATTCATCGTTAAGATCAACAGCTTCTTGGAAGTCTTGGTGGACTGGGAAACCCATAGCGAAAGAGATTGCAGAATCCATTTACAAGCACATTGACCCCACGAAGTGTGCTGGTAATGGGCGCTTGGTTACTTTAGCTGTGGCTGGGAAGGTGACCCTGGCGGATGTCCAAGATGAATTCAAAGCCAAGTTGACCGAGGGAATCCTTTTGGTTTACCCACCGAATAAGGATGCGTCAGCATACTTGCTGGCTGATGCAGTTCTTCATTTGGATATTCTCATGGGTCATTCCATTTTGGGTTTCCTTTCGGCCAACCCAATGGTTGAATCATCAAGACGGGATCGTGCACTCAAAGATGGGACCAATTTGAAATGGTTGTTGTCTTACATCAGGAATAGCTCGGGGAGACATGAGAAAGGCAGAGATGCAACAGTTACCTACTTGAAGGAACTTGCAGCGTCAATGCACAAGCCCAAAAGGGTCAGTCGTTCAGGGAGTCAGGCTAGCATGTCCCCAGTATCGCCGTCTACTTCATCGGTGGCTACTACCATTGGGCTTGATGGTGAGTCGCTGTATGCAGATACTGGAAGCAATCCATCGCCATCTGGCGTGGCTTCAAAACAGTTCCTAGAATGACAAGTACTCGGTTTTCATCCAAGAAATTTCTAGAATGATTTGTTGTTCCCAATGTTGAAATAATGCTTTGAACATGTTTAGGTGGTTCCCATAAATAAAAACTTGAACATGTTCAGGTGGTTTCCATCCACTATCCACAGGGTCATTTATCCCTTTAGTGCCAGTGCCATCTGGAAAATCTGAGGTGCTCGACGGTGACGGCAGATTTGAGCATCATCGACCAGACCTTGCAACTGCTTGGGTCCCTTGGAAAAAGCGCGAATGGTAATTTATCAGTACAATATTGGGCCCCCAGTAAGGCATAAAAGGGATGGTCAATACCCACTACTATATAGCTTGAAACAACATGATTACTTTTATGTAAATGGACCCCAGGAAGCTGATTGTCAAATAACCAAGGTTGGACCCTAACACTGCTCATTCCCAAGATCTGCTTGAGAGGGTGCAGGCTCGGGTGTCAAACTGCCAAACTTGCCCCAGCCAGAGTTTGAACTTTTTTTTGAAAGTTAAATCGATTCCCCATAAACTATGTATCCACACATGTGTTTGAAATTCAATTTACAACCCATGCCGGCGTCAAAAAAATAAACTTACTGTACCCTGATGTTCAGGCAACATACCCACCTGAGTTCTACGGGCATATTTTTCAGCCTTGCGATCATCCTTCAGAAGATCCAAGCCATGCCCCATCCGAACCCCTTTCGGTGGAACCATCCCATGAAGTTCCTGTTGAGATGGATACCCCGATCGAATCCTTTTTCGTGGAACCATCCCATGAAGTTCATCAACCAGATCTGGAGATAGTGGAGACAGGGGAGCCAACCGAAGATCCCATGGCGCCAGAGGTTGCTGAGCCCCTACCCTTGACCGATTCCATCAATGTTGAAGTTGAAAGCTACTTGAAACACATTTTCTTACATCAGATTTTGATCAAGTAGGTTTGCATTTAATTTTTTGAACCACGAAGCCAACCAAAACTATGTTTTTCAATTTTGTGTCAGATGAATATGTCAGTAGAGGGTCTCTGTCATGTCAGGTTCTGCCGCATCTGCAGACACGGCCGATGTTCCCAAAAAAATTCGCCACAGGAAAAAAGGTCCTGAGCTTGACCGGCCAATGGCATCCAGTCCATTGGAGCCACCAGGTGGCCCTGAAGGACCAGTGTCAGGCCCACCAGCAGTGGTTTGCCCTCGTGAGCAGTTGAAGCTTTTGGACATTTGGCTAGAGCTTAGATAAACAAACCACATTTGTTAAAAACCACATCCAAAACAAAGCAAATTTATTTTCCTACACAATCATGCATCCATCCATCCATCTATCCATCCATCAATTTACGACTCCACCCATCAAACCATCATTCATCCATCAACTAACCCATCTACCCACATGCAAGTGCATACATACATGCATGTATGCAGAGATGCGTAAAACAGACCCACACATGCATATTTTTTGGGCACCAAACAATGTTTAAATGGAAAGGGCGAATCAATTTGACACATCCCCAGATAATGAGATACACCTATCTATGTCTTGACATACTGTTTCTTCAAATATTCTTGTTCAAAATGATATACCTGTGCACAAAACATGTAAACTCAGAACCAAACACTTAGAGACGCATACCATGAACAATACATATGCATATTTATACATCAGTGCGCATAGAAGATAAATATATTTATATATGTGGGCATTTAACATATATATATACACACACATATATATATATACATAAAATATCGTACATATAGATTTACCTACATATATATATATATAGATTTACCTATATACATATATACATATATATATAGATTTACCTACATATTAATATATATATACACACACACCTTAAAATTGATATTTCACAACATACAATATATACTATCTATTCTTTTAAAAATACACACGCTTTTGTAAATACATATGGACAAATAAAATAGTTCAAACTACCAAAGACCATAATATAAAACATCAAATAATATAAGAAGAAAAAACAAAAATATATAATATATCTTTTCGAATATAATTTAATATAATCGAATGTAATATGATAGATTAAGAAACAGTAAAGTATAGTGCTAACTAAAAAATATAATATAGTAAAATTTCATACAATATCAAATAGCAATACAATATTTTTTACTAAAATATTGTAAAATAATCTGTAATATAGTATCATGTAAAACTACTTAAAACATAATAGAGTAAATTAGTAAAATTTAAAGCATAAAATGATACAACAACAATAAGAAAAATATAGCACAAGATAATATAATTTAACTTAATGCAATATATATATATATGAATGAAGTAGTAATATAATATAATAAAATAATAATATCATGATATAATGTGATACAAAATACTTCAATATAATATAGTATAATACAATACAAAACAATAAAATACAATTTAATATAACATAATATAACATAATACAATATAATAGAATATAAAATAATATAATTTGAAACTATATAGTTTTAAATAATATTATGTAATATGACTTAATTTGTATATATACAATATATAGCACATTATGATATAATAAAATTATTAGTTTAATCTATTATAACATAATACAATTTAATTTCACATAGTACAATAGAAAAAGATGATGTAATAAAATAATGCAACATTATGTAATTTAAACAAGTACAATATAATATAGTGTTTATACAATAAAATATTATATAGTACAATATAAGATTACATAGTACTACAAAATTTAATACAATATAACATAACACAATACACAAAAACCAATATAATATCAAATTAAATAGATATAAATAAATATAAAAAAATAAATATATCATTATAATATATATCTGCATAGTTCTCGCATCACCCAGGAAGCCCAGCGGCCGAAGCGAACAGCTGGGGGCACCGCTCCAGATGGAGGGAAGAAGGCCAAGAAGCCCTGCAAGGAAAAGAGCGATGATGCAGGGCCATCGGAACCAGCCAACATGCTGCCAATTCCAGAAGGCTATGGGTTCAATAAGAAAACAGAATGGTATTGGATATCAGTGGTTTATACTTGCACTTGCAAAATCTCTTTGCCCACCAAAATAAAACCAATATGAATTATGGCCCCTGTAGGAATGCCAGCAGAACTACTTCCAAGTGGGAAGAGACGTGGGCGACTTTCATACACAGTCCAGGATCAGGCTTCAGGTGCAAAGATCGAAGTGCTTCTCAAGCACCGTGCGTTTCGTGTGGTTTGCTGTGCAGAAAAGACGCCTAGTGGAATCTTGCCTAATTATATTTGTGGGGTCTTACCCAATCATGCAGGTGCTCTTTCTGGTGCCACACATGCCCGGTAAATCAACCCAATTCCACCTCTGACTTCTGGGATCTAAGGAGAGAAGCTCGAACCACCTGTGCTCAAGCAGCGCTCATGGAATGGCGACATTGGCGGGGCTTGGGCAGAGACCAAGGTTGTCTGTGGCTGGATCGGCTGATGTGCCAAGATAGGGCCTACTTTTGGATTGAAAACCAAATTGCCAATTCTATTCCCTGTTACCGCACTAGATGACACAGTGTGGTGGGAAATTCATTCATATCTTTCTGTGGGGCTGCAGCGCATATGCATGCTGCCTAGTCCATTTAGATGAGTTGAACATGGGGGTGCGACGATCATGCAATTGTCATGATACAATGCGCTATTTCACCAAACGGCAGATAGCAAAAAATACAAACACCATGTGCTTTGGATTCACCACTTGGTACGCATTATTGTGGTCTCTCAATTTTAAGGGGAATGACTAGTTACAGAGAAAACAGATGATGGTTGAGCTTGTTCACATCTGAAATCAATTTGTGCGAGCAGTCAAAACAGCTTAGTGGTGAAGAACTTCTTTAGCTTACTGCTTTGGCAAAACAAAATACATATGTTGTCTTCTTTGTTGAAAAGTTTCGGATTAAGGGTCTGCTTCGAAGCCTGTTGACAACGTAAGCCATAGCAGCTTGGGATAGCTTCACCACGGTGATGCAATACCTAAAGAACTCCAAGAAGAAGAAGGTGGTCAACCAAAGCCAGATGAAAAAGATGAAGGTTGACAAGAAGACCCGGGTTTCCAAGCATGTTGTGGATGATGTGGTTAACCCCATCTACCAAACTGTGAGCACTTGGGTTGCCGCCTCTGAAAAGAGCAGGGCACAGGTGCCTGCTTTCAAACTGTTTCAAACCCAAACATACCTTGTGTATTGAATTCAATCGGTTTTAAGTATCGTGTTGTGTCCCCACAATCTCTTTTGTTTCCTTTCTAGATCCCCTGAGTTGAACAACATTTGCGGGCGATTGGTGAGCATCGGCGCCCCCGTTGTCTTGCTACAGCTCATCACTATGGTGTTCCTTTCTACAGGTGGGATCACGGAGTCATTAGACATGGTGGAATATTTTGCTGGTGAGCAGGCAGTTCCTTAACTCATTCAAAGAAGGTTATTGTTTTGGTGTGTTGGTTAACATTTAGAAATGCATCAAACTTGACCGTTTTCAATTAAAAAAGGTGCCCCCAATGTCTTTGTATCTCAAATCTTCCAACGATCCAAGACCCTTCTGCCTTCATGCAGCTACTGGCTGAGGTAACTCGAGCCTGGGCACAGGCAGGCTACCGGAGCTGCCCATTCGAGATCAAACTCAACAGCATGGCAGACATCTTGTCTACACCGGGGACCCTTTGGCTATTTTAAGGATATAGCGGGATTGGGATTTTTGGTGTTACTTCCATATATGGGTTTCCACCTTTCGCTCCCCAAAAACCAACAATACCATGATATGGGTGAATCTTTAAAGGCTTAGGGGTAAGTTTTGTTGGGATCCCAATTTTGACTCTTTGGGCCCAAAAAAGGACTCTTTGGGGATCCTGTATATTCACCCACATGCCCACTATACACTAAAATATCATAGTCCGAAATATATGCACTACGACATACAACATAATTGTCCCTTGAATGGTGGTTTGAAAATAATGGGGTGTCCAGTCCTCTTCCCTTTTGGGACCATCGACATGGGGTTGATACCAAATGCTTTGATTACATGTTTATGATATACAGCTGCACAACCATTGGTGATATTTTCATATCGGACTAGGTTCTGCATGGCTTTACTCATGGCGCTGATGACCAAGAATTTCGGCTTCGCAATGATCGCAACTGTGTGCAGCACATGGGTGTTTGTCAACAGATCCACGAGTCTTGCAGAAATAATTCTACAAACGTTTGATTGCTAGTTGATTCCAAACAAGTTTACTTCTGATAGGGGATGGCACCCCAAAAAGGATCAAGGGCAGTAATTTCAATTCTTTGTCCAGTTCAGGAGTCGCCGAACAGTTTGGTCACCACTAGGTGACGAAAGGGTCAAGAGTGTGGCATTAGCAAATGTTCCATGACTATAATTTTGCAGTTTTGATTTTCGAACCCCAACTATTTTCTGTGTGGGTGGCTCTCCAACAGTTGGACTTATTGCCAAAGCTTTTCAATTTACTGCATGGGCTGAGCATGCACCGTTGTTGAGGTCATGGTGAGCAGAATGTCACTGATATTGTGGGTTTTGGAGGCAAAGAGATGCCTGTGGCTCTATGAGCAACCCCAAACTTCGCTCCTTTTTCAACACCCAAGAATGCAACAATTTGTTGAATCCTGCGTTGTATTTAAAATACATTGCTGGATGGGATCATACGGCGCTAGTTCGCCAAAGGGCACTCACCTATGGGGACCTCATGCCGACATCCAGAAATTCATTCTGCCCCTTCCCTGCAAAACCTGGGCACCCCTTGTAACCAAAAAGACTTTGGCAGACGGGCGTGTTCAGGTTTCGGGAAATTCAGACCTGAAAGGTTCTCAGGCGTATCCACCGGCTTTTGGTCATGCCACGGTGGGTGTTTGGAAAATGGCAGTTGAAAGACCATTGCCCCCTGTGAAGAAGCTTCCAAAAATTTGGGGGGGCAAAGTTGACAAGTGGCCTGACGCAGACTTGTCCGATGTATTCCAGTTTCTATCCATGGGCACCATGAAGTGAACTATATACTATATCATGGTGTCAATTCATGTGCGCTACTTCGCACATTGCTGCATTGCATGCCGTGGTCTCAGATCAGGGGCACAAGTGTGGCGAGTCATCAAGTAAATACAAAACCACTAAGTAATTTGTTCTTGATTGGATGCTCTGATTGCAGATCCATATAGTTTGCAGCTGACTGGACGCTCTGATTGCAGACCCATACAAGTTGCACAGCGTGTGTGTTGGCCAAGTGGAAAATGTGTTGGGGGTTGGGGTGTCGAGATATATGTCAGTGGAGAACACCTCCAGAAAATATGCCAGAATATGTTTGTTGATGGTTGTGCAGCCAGTGGGTATTCCTTTGATAATACGTCAGAACAGTTCAACTCACAGGTAAAAAAACATGATAGTTGTCCCATATCAAGCCACCTATCTATAGTGGTTGTGCAGCGTTCCAGTTACCACTTTGTTCCAATGATCAGATATAAATCCCAATCGTGGCAATGTATCCATTTTCAGCACCCGGTCAGCCAGGATATATATATATATATTATGCATACATCCCAAAGGGTTTCTGACCCACCACATGGGGATATACCAATGTGTTATGAATCAAGCTGTTGATATTTGAATATATATATATATATACATAAAAATGATTATTTATATAACTTATATACATACATCCCAAAGGGTTTCTCACCCACCACATGGGGATATACCAATGTGTTATGAATCCAGCTGTTGATTATATAATTTATATACATCCCAAAAGGTTTCTCACCCACTTCATGGGGATATACCAATGTGTCATGGATCCATCTGTTGATATATATATATATACATATCCCAATCTGTTATATTAAGTGTATAATATGGTTTTATAAATATATATATATATATATCCCAAAGGGTTTCTCACCCATATACCAATGTGTTATGAATCCAGCTGTTGATATTTAAAAAAATATATTTATATATGTACATCTATATCCCAATGTGTTTTGTTAAGTGTGTGATATGTATATATAAATATATGTATATATAAATCCCTTTTGGTTATTCTTTTGGTTGTGTATATATACTTATTTCCCAATGGGTTACGTATCCAGTCCCCCTGGAATATATTCCAAATTCCAAATACCCATTCTCAAGATCAGCACCCACACCGTCGGTAGGTGGTACTTCATATGAAGCGATGCCTCCAGCTGGGCAAAGATGATGAAGGTGCTTTCACCCGGCCCATGGGAATTTTTGTGGTATTTTGGGGAGTCTATAGTTTTGTGGTAGATTTATGGGCTTAGAACTATTTTGGGGAGTCTATGATGGGTTCACGTGGAGTCTATCACCGGGTAATGTGGAGTGAATAGAAAATTTTCATTAATGTGTGGAGTCTATGATGGGATAATGTGGAGTGAAAAGAAAATTGGGGAATCTATTATCGGTTAATATGGAGTGAACAGAAAATTTAAGGATGATGTGAACTTCTGATTGGATTCAACACTGATTCATATTTTTTCAAAAATCTTGAAAAAACGAAAGGCCGTGAAAACTCCGTGAAACGACCGTGAAAACTCGTGATTGTTCACGCTTTCACATTTTTCATATCCAGCGGCTTTTTGGGATCATTCAGAAGGGTGAGTGGTCACTTTTCCTCTGGTGCCATGTCACTCCCTATGCCCGGGGGTGGTTCTGCACTGGTGACTCCACAGGCTGGGGTGAAGCAAACCAACAGCATCCCAGTCTTTGGATCACCATCAAGGGGTGATATCGAGATTTTTTTTTGACAAAAGCAGGTATCATGGGAAGTGCAATGGGGTTAGTCAACCAAAGGCAATTGCCCCATCTCAAATGATCACAACCAAAGAGAACATCAAACGATTTTTTGACCCTCTGACTTACAGCAGTAGGGGTTGCCAGCATGGCCCTCAGAAACGTACAGCTCCATCTTCAGAGCCATCGTCGACGGCATCGGCCCCAAAACCAAAAGTGCCCAAGATGACCAAAGAGGAGTTGCTACAGAAGTTCAAGCTGGCTGCAGAGCTAAACGGGCTGGCTTGGGAAGAGTTTGCAGCCCCTCAACTTAAGAAGCCACCTTTTCAATATTTATTTTGAAAAGATGGTTGCCAGTCCATTTTATATATCCAAACAATCCCAATGATAACCTCATTGTTGTGTCCATTTTATATATCCCAAAAATCCCAATGATAACTTCAAGAAAATATTGTTGTATATTGTTGTTGATCTTCGCCCAATCAAGTACTAGTCCATTTTATATATCCAAAAAACCCAATGATAACTTCAAGAAAACAATCAAGTACCAGTCCATTTTATATATCCAAAAAATCCCAGTGAGAACTTCAAGAAAAATATTGTTGTATATTGTTGTTGATCTTCTGTCCCACCCCATGCAGGCGGATATCTCAACATCGGCAGGTATGTCATCGGTGGCCCCTAGTGAGCCTGAAGATCTCGATGGTGAGGTGCTATCTGACGATGCCTTGGCACAGCTTGAACAGGCTGTTGAGATGGAAATGGAAGCCAAAGAGGTGTTGAGGGTGCAGGAAGAACACAGGGCAGCCACAGCAGCAGTGGCAGCTCAAGCACTCCTTCAGCACCCTGCAGCCCATCCTGGTGTGGCTCATCCAGCTGATCAGCAGCAGGTGGTGCCCAAAGCTCTAGCGCAACATCCAGCCCGGATTCCCCTTCCTGGAGTTCAACATCCTGGAGGTCAAGCCCAAGGTCAACAAGCTCAGGCCCATCCTGGAGTTCAACCTGTACAAGCACCTGCTGTGCCTGCGCCTCAACATCCTGGAGTTCAACCTGCCCAAGGACAACAGCCTGCAGCTCATCCTGGAGTTCAACCTGTACAAGCACCTGCTGTGCCTGCGTCTCAACATCCTGGAGTTCAACCTGGCCAAGGACAACAGCCTGCGGCCCATCCTGGAGTTCAACCTGGAGTTCAGCCTGCCCAAGGTCAACAGCCTGCGGCCCATCCTGAAGTTCAACCTGTGCAAGCACCTGCTGCGCCTGCGCCTCAACATCCTGGAGTTCAACCTGGCCAAGGAGTTCAACCTGGAGTTCAGCCTGCCCAAGGTCAACAGACTTCGGCCCATCCTCAAGGTCAACCTGGAGTTCAGCCTGCCCAAGGTCAACAGACTTCGGCACATCCTGCCCAGCAGACTTCGGATCAGCAACCTGCTGTGCCTGCAGTTCAACATCCTGGAGTTCAGCCTGCTCAAACCCAAGGTCAACAGACTTCGGCCCATCCTGCCCAGCAGACTTCGGATCAGCAACCTGCTGTGCCTGCAGTTCAACATCCTGGAGTTCAGCCTGCTCAAGCCCAAGGTCAACAGACTTCGGCCCATCCTGCCCAGCAGACTTCGGATCAGCAACCTGCTGTGCCTGCAGTTCAACATCCTGGAGTTCAGCCTGCTCAAGCCCAAGGTCATCAGACTTCGGCCCATCCTGCCCCTGCTGTGCCTGCAGTTCAACATCCTGGAGTTGATCCTGCTCAAGCCCAAGGTCAACAGACTCCGGCCCATCCTGAAGTTCAACCAGCTCAAGCCCATGGAGGTCAACAGACATCAGCCCAGCAACCTGCTATTCCTGCGTCTCAACATCCTGGAGTTCAACCTGACCAAGGACAACAGCCTGCAGCCCAACCTGGAGTTCAACCTGCTCAAGCACTTGTGCCTGCCTCTCAGCATCCTGGAGTTCAACCTGACCAAGGACAACAGCCTGCAGCCCAACCTGGAGTTCAACCTGCTCAAGCCCATGGAGGTCAACAGGCCCCTGCCGACCCTGCAGTTCAACCTGCTCAAGCCCAAGGTCAACAGACTTCGGCTCCTGTGGTTCAGCAACCTGGGGTAGCACCCGACCCAGCCCAAGGACAACCTCCAGCTGGAAGCAACGCAGCAGCGCAAGCGACCAGTCCTCAAGGACTTGTGGCAGTGATTGAGCACACCGTGGCGACCACAGCAGCTGAAAATGCAGCCCAGCCCCCTAGCCAGATTGCAACATCCAGTACACACCGGAAGGAGTACATGGCATTCCTACGTGCAGCCAACCACCCGTACTTAGGCTTCTTATGGGATAATGTTTTTACTTCCAACAGGGTCGTTTTCAAACATAAGATGTCATATATGTTTGTGATGAAATGGGTATGGCATTTTTTTTGTGAGGGTTACATGTCACAAACCAAAGCTAAGGGATCGATTGGAGCCATCAGTGAAGGCCATGTTTGCTGATCGCAACCAGCGAAAAGATCTATTCAATATGTGGCTCACACATGCCCAGGACTTTGGGAGGTGTGCATTGGAGATTTCCAGGACTAACTCCCAGAGGCGCAGTGCACAAAGCACAACAGTCTCATGGAGCAGAGCTCAGATCGAGCAATCCAATCGCTACACTGCCCAGGAGATTGACCAGCTGGTGGAGCGACTCACCCGGGAAAACAGGTACATCGATGACCCCAATTTTCCTGGTGTGACTCACCTCAGGAGGTACTTACTGGTAGATGATGTGTCCCAAACCAACCAGCAGAATCAGGAAGATCGCCAACACATTATCATGACAGGCGGCATCACAAGTGCCGAAGGTGTCAACCTCGTGAGTGAAGGACTCATTGGTCCACACATTGTTTGTTTATGTTCTATGTTTATGTTCAACCATTGTAGAGCCATTAGATTCTTCATTAAGTATGGAGTTTAAAAATGATGTTCTGTTAACTGTTGGTCATTGTATTCGACAAGCAGGGGGGAAGATTGCCGGATACCTACAGTTGCACACCCTATACATATAAACATATATGATTGTTATGTGTCTCGATATTGTGAGTGTGTATACATACATACATACATACATACATACATACATACAAACATACAAACATACAAACATACAAACATACAAACATACAAACATACAAACATACACATATTTAAAAATATTTATATACCCTACAGCCCATATGTAAATACATTTTGTATCTTTACATACATATATATATATATGTATAAGGGAATGTCAATGTCTGCTTATGTTTGTATATATATAAATATATATGTAAAAATACCAAAATACAAAAATAATTGTATATATATACATGTATGTCTATATATATATATATATACATACATACATATATATATATACACAGATTCCTATACATAGACCCCATTGCCATGTCAGTTATCTGCGCTACCTGTGTTGAGGATCTGACTTCTCGGTGGCTGCAGCACCATCTTTCGCCGATGTGCTCGCTCCCAGTGATGTCACGGTTCCTGATGGGAACGGTGGCCATGGCAAGGGCCGTGGCAAAGGTGGCAAAGGGGGCAAAGGGGGCAAAGGGGGCAAAGGAGGGAAGGGGAAGAGCACGGGTCAGGATCCGAGTGGCACCACTCCCAACACCCCACAGCAAGAGACCCCGACGACTCCTATGACCAAGGCCAAGGCATTGGCCAAATCAGTGCCCCTTAGCTATAACAAAAGAAATATTCCAGTGATTTTGAATAACCCAGTTAAAAACCAATCCTTTAACGATCTTTGTCTTTTACATGGGTCATTAAATGTCCCCATTGAACATCACCCAACCATTAGGTATATGGTCTATAATGGCTACTATAAGGTGATGTCCAATATACCAAAAATGGGACATTTACCAATCCCTGTTTTATGTTATCGTCATTCTAAGGCTGAAAGAAGCTGAAGAAGCTCGAACCTTGATCGTGTCAATTGAGGGCTTGGAATGCTCTGAGCCTTTGAGAAATGCTTTGGATGAACATGCGAAGTGCATGGTTGATCTCTACCGGAAGTTGACCAGTCTCATTTCCAGTGGAGTGGATGACTTGCAGTCTTACCAAGAGCATTTTGACAATGCTGTGCGCTACACAGCCTGGTTCAAAGCCAGGAAGAAGATTGCAAATTCGATGAAAACTGCCAGCAGCAGTTCCAACCCTTCTGCAGGGGCTTCGACTTAGATTGTTGCCCAAGTGATGTGGCCGGTTTACAATTTTGATTCCGAACACTGCCATGGGAAAGTTATTTTGTGAAGAAATCACCTTTTATTAGTTGCCCTCTTCGATTATTTTGTTGTCCCAGAGAATCAAAAGGACATCCAAAATACATGTTTGTTTGCATCGGCAGTGCACATCTTGGGAAACCATTCTGTGGAGTGGTTCAGAGTTCAAGGGGTATGTGCGTCAAGTAGCTGGGATAAGATCATTGCGTGATCCACTCGGCATGCTGGCAAAGAAAAAACAGGTGCCCCAATGGAGCTGGTGTGGTTTGAGTCTTTGGGGCAAAAAATCATAATTGTTTACCCGATACCCTGACAAACAGAGATGTTTTTTAGGAAAAGTTTTGGGAACATACCTTTGGATATATATATATATATATGTAAATAAATATATATATATATAATACCTACCTACCCACCTACCTAGCTGGCTAGCTAGCTGTCAGTTGGTTGATCTCTATTTTATCTGTTTTTACAATACATGGATGTATATATGTACATAACATTGAATCAACAAACAAATAAATAAACACATATATGTATATATGTTTATATATATATATATGTTTACAAATTTATATATATATATATATGACAATGCCTGTGCATATACTTATGCACAAATCAGTGCAACTTGTATCAAAACAGTGGTTCTTTCTAGCACCTTATATGTTTTCAACAAGGGAAACCATGTTTAAAACCCCTATTCCCGGCCATGCCAGGTGCTTCCGGTCCTCCAGCTAGAAGGCAGAAAGCCAGTGCACCTGGTGGATCGCTGGCGCGCGAGCTACTCTGGGACATTTCCAGGGGAGAACCTTGACCAGGGGATAAACATCATGTGTTTCTTGGGGTAAGTGGTGAACCACTATTTAGAAGAGTTTTTTCGAATTTCAAATGCAAAAAAACAAGTGATTAAAACAACCCAGGAAATCCATGTAAGCACAGCACAACGCTATGCGCTAGCAGCCCACCAAGATGGCTTGGAAGAGGAGACAATCAGGAGCATTGCCAGTTTGGCTTCATGGGGGCGACACATGCAAAATGTAGAGAGGGATCTGCACAGATGGATGCCATCTGCCCACAATACTGAACTGGAAACTTTCACCACAGTGATAGATGTATATGACCCTGATCTGGCACAAGTTCAACAGAAAAGCATACCTATTTTGCTTGCATCGGATGTTCTACATTCTTTGTGGCGAAAGCAGAACGCTACTCTTTGGGATGCCTGCATTGGGGCCACGGCAGAAAAATGCCAACTTTACTGGGATTACGCTGCAGAAGATTGGGCTAGCAATCACCCTGTTGTTCAGCCATTCGGTTGCCTTCCTGTTAACAATTTTAATTTTGATTTTCCCATGTCCCACCAATAAAGATTATTTTTGTTGGGTTGGGTGTCACTTTCAACTGCGTCCCTCAAGTTGCCGGCCTTTCAGGCAAAATCTGCAGGATGCCAGCTTCCCGGTCCCTCGGACGGATGGTTCGAGGTTCTCAATCTGATTATTGGGTTTTCACCATTTTCATTATTGTCCCACAATTCAAGATCCCATCTTCTTAAAATCATATTCCCACATATATAATAATTGGTTTATAGTATTGGGTATGTTTATTTAGGTGTCTTATTTGATGGGATGGATGTTGTCCTTCACTAATATTGGGATAACCGGTGTATATGAAAATCATGCAAGGTGAAATGGTTCGTTGATGGATGTGAGTTCAACAACAACCATGAATTACTGGTTTGGATGTGGTCTTCGGTGATGGCCAAAACCAATTGGGCTACAAAATTTGTCTTTGCTGCAATCCCATCTCGATTCCTGCCAACGAAATCGTTGAGGGCGAAAGCCAATGCTGCAATTGTAAAGGCTATTGCTTGGGATAGTGTCTTGGCCCACAAAGCATCCTATTTGTTACATGTCTTGGCTTCACAAATCCCACAAGTGTTAATAGCTTGAATCAGCTTAATCTTTTTGCATCCCCCTGCAGCTACAATTATTAAGGGTATATAGCAGCATCCCCAGAAATCCTACTTGTTATTATTTCTCGATTGGGTACCAGAACCATCATATGAGGTCAAAATATATTGGATGGCGTTTTCCCAAGCACTGATCAATTTGGAAACCCCATGCTTGGAAAGCGTGCCCTCAAAGCTGGCCAGAGTATTTGCGGTGGGTGGCGTGGAGCATTTGATAGTTGGACAGGGGATTGGAAAGAGAGGGCCCTCTCGCACTGTTTCATACGACGCAATTACCAGAGTACCCAGGTTTGCGATCAGTGTCTAGCTGTGAAACCTTTTGCAAGAACCCCTGAACGCCTGTTGCACCTGGTATTTACTGATTTCAGTGAAACAGCCCCTTGGCGATCTACTTTGCAGTCACATGATGATTATGTTCAGAACACACCAGTGGATCAACGAACGCCATGGTTAGATATCCCTGGATTTGTGATCTCGCGTGTCAAATGGGATTCAGCACATACAATCCTTTTGGGAACTGGGAAAGATTTGGCAGCAAGCGTGCTGTTCGACTATGACTCTTGGCTGCACCAAGTGGCTACTTTGTAAGTGCAACATATTTGGGGGTCCATCCCATTCAGTAGATGGATTTTTACTACCAATTATATATCGAATATCCCAACTTATACGGGATATTTATGGGGTCATTTATGGATTGAAAACAACTGCTAAGAGTGCATCCAAATATTCCCACAAATTGCAATCAAAATTTACAGAGTTTTTTATTTGGGGATGGGTATGCAATTTGCTGCAATGGTGGTGTGCTATAAATTAATAGCCGCAAGCCTGACACCATTTGGCCAATCTGAGGCGACCGACCCTCATGCCAGTGGACTTTTT